CATGGTAGGGTGTGGTGGGTCACTACAGATCATGGTAGGGTGTTATGGGTTATCACAGATAGTGATAGGGTGTGGTGGGTTATCACAGATCGTGATAGGGTGTAGTAGGTTACCACAGATCTTGGATTACCTCAGATCAGGAAAGGGGTTGACTTACCTCGTTACAGTATTAAAAAATGTTTGCTGTTGTTTGTCATGAAGGGAAAGTAGATTGTGCATGGAAACACACGGAGGAACACCTAAATCAATGATCAAACAGTAAAGAAGAAGTAACATAAATATTTGATAATCAATTACTCTAAACCTTTTTAATGTACCTTTAGAGTTTGCTTATTTTTAGAGGGATTATATTTTGGGGATCTTGTTTTTGAGGAAATACAAATTGACACATACTAACCTGTTATTGACACCATCATATCTTCTATGACTGCCAACCATGTACACTTTTTGGAGCTAATCTGAAAAGAAAATAATATGAGTAAGATATACTCAGAAAATAATATAAGTGAGATGTACTTAGTCTGCATAGAAGTAATATGCTAAGTAATATGCTTATTTTTTCTCATATATTTGCACAGTGAAACCGCTGGAAATAGTGGTCCAAGAAAAATCGTGGAAGAGTTTGGGGGGTGGTGGGTGGGGTGAAGGGGTGTGAGGGGGAGATGGAAAGGAGAGGGAAGAAATTTAAGGGGGCCCTCATTTCCTTCTTCTCCTTCCTACTGTATCTCTTATCCCTTTTGGGCTGCCATACAGGCTATGTATACTGGAACCTGTCCCCTCTTTGCCTACGATAAAAGACAACTAACATCCACATCTTACCTGTTCCATCTCTATATCAGGTGCTTGTTCAGAAATGTTCAAGGAATAAATGCCTTCATTTGCTCCTATAAGGATGTATTTACCTTAAAAATAATAAACAATACACAGTCAAGCAAAACAAATCATTTACTGTAGATTTATTAGCTGATGTATTGAGCTTATTCAATAGAAATTAGAATAAAGACTGGATACAAGTTACATACTTTTAGTTTTAKAATTAACCCATGTTGCAGTACAATGAATGTGGAGAGGACATTCATTGAAAATCTTTGAAAAGCAAGTTGTGACCTAAAAAATATATACCTTCAGGTCAGTAATTCATGGCCATTACAACATCATCATCATCAACACCATCATTATCATCCTTACACAACCTAGCCATAGTCATCAGTCAATATTGCCATCATCATCATCATCGCTATCAAGTGGTACATTTAAACAATAACCTATCAAGTGACCACCTATCAAAATTTGTCATTGCTAATCATCACCACCACCGTAAAGTACAGCAGTGGTGCAGCTCAATGGGGTCAARCCAAAAGCATGTGAAGGCACCTCTGGCAGAGGCTATACAGACCATGTGTGACCCTGGAGCACAGCTCTAACCAGTTTGAATTAGTTAGGGATGATTTGAGAGCAGAGATGAAAAACCGGAAGACAGGAAAAACCCTTGGAATCAGAAAGAGAACCAACCAACTCTGCTCACATGGGGCGACTGGGAAGATGAGAATGTCATCCTGATTTCCCACAAATGACCAACACCTATTCCCCTCCCATCCCCTGAGAAAAATGTAAAAAGAATGCTCCCTATGTTAAACCGTCTCACAAGAACATACAACTAAGCCATAATATCAATAGTAACTGAAACATCATCGAGTTAAGGTTAAATGGTGGAACTGTTTAGGAGATTAATTGAGAAGAATCTTTTAATGATTTCAAACATTTTATGTAATATTATTAGTCAGAATATTAGGTCAAAGTGAGCATGCAGTATGTAAAAGGACTGAGTTATACACATAAATAAATGCTAGGAATCAAAAAGTGGAATAAATAATGGTGCTCTGAAAAATGAACTAAGTTATCTGGAGGATAAGAGAAAAATCTAGCATTTAGTTCTCAAAGGTTGATCATTGTTCATTAGGTTCATGCTAGGTTCATGCAAGGTTAAACATAAACAAGGCAAACAGGTCTGTTAGTCTTTTAGTATCCATTAATGATAAATCATGAAGGTCATATACCAGTTGATTCATAGTACAGCTAGGTCATAACTGCCTTGAATGTATATACTCACTACATTTTTGGGTCTTGGAAGAGGAGGTGGAACTCCATTTATTGAAACATAAGAAGGTTTAGATATAGGGGGTTTCTAAGAAATTGAACAACAGAATAGTAAGGGTTTAATTAATCTACACATATCTATATCACTGTAGGATTTGTGGATACCAATTTATTAATTTATCATTCAAGAACTGTAAATATTCAAAATGTTACTTGCAGGTGCCTTTTTAAAGTTCATAGGTCAGGCCAAGTCATGATTTCAATATGATGCAAAGGATCAAGAGCCTAAATTCACCAAAAACTGGCCATTGACACTTGGGATTTCTACATCAGGCATTGACAGGGTGGCATGGATGTTGTGGTCCAGGTTCAAGCAACAACTTGGGCTAGATCATAATTTATGTGAGTTGAGTTTGTTTGATCTGTTGTTTTCTCTTAAAAAATTGCCAGCAAGGTTTTTCTCCAGGTTCTCTGGTTTTCCCCTAGGGGGGAGGGGGGTACTCCCCCTATATTCTCTATACGGGTACGTGCCGCCAAACAGGGTATGATTTTCAGCAATTCTACTCTGGAACAGGGTATATAAAAACACACTCTCTCTGGAACAGGGTATATGAAATCATGCTCCCTCCTCTCTGGAACAGGGTACTTATTTTTGCAATGCGGGAACAGGGTATGGTTTTCAGCGATTTTGCTCTGGAACAGGGTATGAATTTCAGCAATTTTACKCTGGAACAGGGTCAGGGTTCAGAGGGCTCAGTGGCACATCCCTACCCTAAACGGGCAAGAGTACCCCCGGGGTTTTTCCTCCCTCTTTAAAAATCAATGTTGTGAGTTGTGTGTTGTACGTTGTAAATATAGAATGTTCATAATATACAATGTAAATATAGTGTTCCAAAAGAATTTTAGTGAATATGACCTCCTCACATTAACCACATAAATATTCTTTACAACCAAAGCTGGTCTACCAATGTACGTTGTTGAGTGCCAGAAAAGCATGTACTGGTATACATGTTATAGAACTGCATTCTCAGGAAATCCACACCTTACATAAGGACAATCACATTCTTGTATTTGAAAATTGCATTTCAATGCCCTTTTTAATCCTTTGCATTGCAGACCATGAACTACAGAAAGGCAAACTGACTAGTATCTAACAGGAGTGTGTTACTTTATACCAATGATAATTTAAGAAATTATGTTTTTAATTTTATATTAAAGCCTTTTGTGAAGTATTTAGTACAATAAGAACAAGCAGCTTATATCTATTACTTAGTGGCTGCATGTTACTACCTTCCATGAACAGCAGAATCAAGTGATTCTGATAAATAGTGTTTAATGGATGGTCATTAATTAGTTCAATTACTCCTCATTACCAATGGACTGGGTTAGTGTTATTAATAATAAACCAATAGCTACTTAACAATTTTAATAAATTTGAGCAATAATTTCATGTTATCTTTCATAAAACACATTGCAAACTCTTCATGTATTTAGGTCAAAAGTAAATGCTCATTAAAGTTAGATACAAGATTACAAGGTCAAAAAAGTAATTACAAACTATATAGATTACATGGAAAATTTATAAAAGTTTATAAAAATTGATAATTTACATTGTGATTATTGATTATGATTATAACCATGTTAATCTGATAAGGTTCAGATTTTCTTTTCAATTGAAAAGAGTTTATTAATTTACAATTAAGTTTATGTATTTTTTTAGTGTTTTTAGCAAATTAACAATATTCTTGTAAAGACAATGATTCCATAGCTTTTTTGTTATAAAAGTAATGTTACCGGGGGAGGTGCGGTGGGCGGTGGATGCCTTGGAGCACCTCCACCATTACTTGTGCTTTTTGTCAGCTTCAGGTGATCTGGTTTGGGTGGAGGTGCAGGTTTCAAGCTTTGTAGTCTGGGAACTTTATAATGATCTTTAGTTTCCTTGGAAAAGAAGAAAAATGCATTTTATTTACTGGCCTCTGACTTATAAGAGCATTCACTCATAGCTCGTTCTCACCTTTGGTGGTAATGGAGGTGGTTCATCATCTTCTTCTTCAGGTTGTTTGGCTTTAAATGTCCCTGTAGCTCTAAAACAATGTGAAATTATAGTTCAGCTAGACTTTTAATTCATAAATGTTTGGAATCAATAATGATATAAAATAATAATAACAAAAATATGTGATTATATAGTCACATTTGTCTGATTATAAAGAGAGGAATTATTACTTACTGCATAGTATCATCATCTTCTATACTGGAATCAACCCCCTGTGTCAGTCAAATCACAACTAATTATCAATTCTTGAAATAAGTTTGATTAACTGTTTAAAACGCCAAAAATAACTGACAATAGATTACCTGAAAATGCTGTTTGGTAGCTCTCTTTGCTATAGGGTCTACTTCCACACCATCCACTAATACGATAAAAAAGTATCATCAAAAGCAGTAGTGTTTTATATCTCATGGGTGGCGTATGCTGCTAATTAACACACTGTCTTTCACTGTGTAAGTCCAATGGGTTGGGTCGCGGGTTTGAGCCCTTAAAATGCCACATTTGAATTGAGTTTGTACTCCCCTATATTCGCTTTACAGGTATGTGCTGCCAAACAGGGTATGGTTTTCAGCGATTTTACTCTGGAACAGGGTCAGGGTTCAGTGGGCTCAGCGGCACATCCCTACCCTAAATGGGCAAGATTACGCCCCCCCCCCCCCCCCGGGAATCAGTCTAGCTTGACAAATGGTCTTTTGAAATTCCAAAAATTTATGCCCATTTATTTTCATAATTATGCATCTGCCAGGTTGTTGGCTTCTGTCAATAGCTTTAAATATTCAGCAGTCTGAGTAAGTGAATTTTTGATTGATGTCAGCCAAAAACCCAGACAATTTGGGCTGTGTTGTCGTGTAATCATAACTAGGGATTTGAAAGTCAGTTTTTAACTACTACAACATTTAATGCTTTACTTACATATTCCACCTGACATGTTTTTAGATGACTTTTCATGCGGCTTAGTTGATCGTATTCTTGTCATGACTTTGACATGCTAATGAAAATAAGTGGAATAGTTAAAAATATAGCCAAAAATTCAAATTTTAAAAATCTTGGATAAAATTGCAACAAAAAACAAGAGTGTACTTCATCAATAGTTTCTTCTTCATCATCAGAACCATCCAATGGAAAGCTCCTTTCGTCCTGCTGTGTCTTAAACTTGTCAATTAGATCTTGTGTAACAGCCTTTGTGAGATGGCGGCAGCAGAATGGGTGCTAGTAAGAGAAAATAATTTCTTAATGAAAAAAAGAAAGAAATAATGCTAAGCCAAATGCAGGAGTTTTCTAGATTGAACTTACTGTAAGCATTTTATCAGCTCCTGGTCTTTTCTTAGGATTTTTGACCAATGCCACTTTAATAAAATGATGCATTTCAGCTGACCTGACAAGAACCAATAATATTAATACATTTTGCTATAGAAAAATGCTATAGAAAATGCTATTTCTATTTAAAATGCTACTTCTACTGATTTTTTAATGAAAATTTAGTGTYATAATTGTAAGTATTTTAGTGTTATTACCAATGGTAAATTTGAAAAAATCCTTTCTCAAAAAGTGTGGGGGATATAATAGTCCTCCTGGCTCCTATGTCCCTGGCATATCTGCGCTGAGTGGACTGGATGCATCACTTGTTGTTTTTTCTATCTTATTTTTTTGGGACTGAATTCATTTAGTATAGACGTTTTGCACCATCACATGAGGGCAGCCATGTTAGATGGTAGGAACAATACAATTGTTTTACATGAGAAAGAAATCAATTCCTGAGAGCAAAGGGATTTTATTGTTTTGCCACCCAATCACAGGCAGTCCAAGCTGGATTATGGTGCCCGCACCTGATGGTGCACAACCTCTATTTTGTTTCAATTCATGAATATAAGTCTAAGTTTCTTTTGAAAAGAAAGGTCCCCTATCCATCCACTTCTTATTTCATTGGTAATTTGGGGAAAATGTGACAAAACATTAAATGATGCTGGTATTAAATGATCTATGCAATAGATAACTAATAACCTTACTTACCATTTATCTTTTTCTTTTAATGTGGGAGGTATAAAATTCTTTTTTCCTATAACATACAGTGCCCTGAAATGAAAATTAAAGAAAATGGAAGGAATAATGAATCAGTAAGGATTTGAATGCATGCAGGTATGTCTGTTAGTAATTTTGTAGTTTATAAGCAGCTGACATATTTTTTGGTTGACAATAGCCTGACTGTTAACTGTGTGTTGGATGATTATCAGCCACGCTTTGACTGTGTGTTGACCAATGGCCAACTATAGTCTCAGCACAACTGACATTACATAGGATTAGCATTATTTAGCAGTAATGGTATTTATGTTGCACACTTATAGTGTTTGTACTCTATTAGTTGGAACAATATGAATGTTGACAACAAATGTTGGCTGTGTGTTAGACTATTGACGATTGATGGCACTTGTTGGCTGGTCATAAAGTACATATTTGCCATGTTATCTTTATAGTCCTGGATCATGCAATACCTAACAGCTTTACAAAGCTTAATATCTCCTTACCTCATTGGGTGAAGATCAAACATTGGGGGCTGTAATTCTGCTAACTCTATTACAGTAATGCCGACCGCCCAAATATCACACTAAAAACAACAAACCATTTTAGTTTTAGAATCAAAATTGTCTCCTGGCTGGCAATAATAATTATTGCCCAGTTAAAAGATTCAATCAATCTGAATCTAATACCAACATATAACTAATTTCAAATTACATAATATAAGAATGTGATTAATTTGGGTTAAAAGTGGCATGAGTTGTAGTTCAGCATGTTTCGTCAATAGAGCTACATTTTAAAATTTATTTCAACACTATTCTATGTATATCTATAAATTGTAGACATTGGATAAGTTAGATATTATATTATATTATTACTGTTAAGTGCTTTTGGCATTAGCACTATATCTGCAATATCATCAGCATCATCTCCATGGTCATCTCCATCATCTCCATCATCATTGTTGTCATCATCATCATCACAATAATCATCTGTGTCATCATCACTGTCATCATCCCCACCATCATCATTTTCATCATCATGGTTGTCATCATGGTTGTCATCATGGTTGTCATCATCATCACCACCACCACCACCATCATCATCATCTCCATCTTCATCAATGTCATCATAGTCRTCATCATCATCATCATTTTATTCTTCTTCACAACCACCGCCAGTCAGAGAAGACAAAAAGACAGGTTTATTTACCTTAAGGTCATAACCACCTGTCCTTTCAACAGCAGCCATTTCTGGAGCCATCCTATATTGATTAAACAAACAAATGTACTTAATACTTACTGCGATATTAGATCATCTATTACTGCAGGTCTATGATGTGGATATTAGTGGATGGTTGGTATGAAATTGTGCATAGTGCAGTAATACCTGCTTATTTCCTTCATTATCTATCCACTGTCCTTCACTATCTATACCACAGTACCTCCCATCCCAACTATTCTATACCTGTCGCGTTTTAGGACCTGACTTTTGCTGTATTGTTGCCCGTATTGCGATACACCGATACACAACATGCCATAGGGCTACATATCTAAGCAATCCAAAATCCAATGTAGTCCCCCGGTCTCTCAAAGGATCAGCTAATATACACCACACAGCCACACATACAACGATACAGGAGATAAACAACGACACAGCACTACCGCGATACAGACGATACAACGATACAGACGATACAACGACACAGCACTACCGCGATACAGACGATACAGACGATACAGACAATACAGGAGATAAACAACGACACAGCACTACTGCGATACAACGATACAGACGATACAACAATACAGGAGATAAACAACGACACAGCACTACTGCGATACAACGATACAGACGATACAACGATACAGGCGATAAACAACGACACAACACTACTGCGATACAACGATACAGACGATACAACGATACAGGCGATAAACAACGACACAACACTACTGCGATACAACAATACAGACGATACAACGATACAGGAGATAAACAACGACACAGCA